TCACTTACTGGGCCCCTGCATAGACGATTAGGAGGCTTACCCTAACCTTAACCCTTACACACAGGGGCTTCATCTTTTAAAGCTCATGAATACCAATTAGCATGAAATTAGCATGCCAAATGTGATTTGGCCTCCAAACTGTACAAAGCTTCACATCAAAGGTTTAGAAGTTGGATCATGACCAAACAGGAACCACACATATAGAATCCAGAATAGGAGTGAAGCTGTTTCACTACACATCACACCCTGCTAGAGAGGGTGTGATGTCCACAGGAGGAAACAGGTGTGCTGCTCCAGAACAGGTCAGGAGAACAGGCAGCACCCAGACAGCAAAGATGCACTGGTCACTTTATGTTTGCCATTGTGTTGGTTATGTGGCTCTGGCTGGATGTTTGGGTTCGCTGACGCCCCCTGACAACAGTGATGATGGAGAAGGATCTAACCTGTTTGTCTGAGTGACACCTGGGGTAACGTAACATGAGCAGGATTCATGCTGTTAGCCTGTCTCAGTCCTGGTCCCTGCCCTGTGTTTTCCTTGGACTGTGGTTCCCAGTTCAGTGGATTGTACCTCCAGCTCTGCCCTGCACACCCAGCAAACTTCACCTTCATCAGCTTAACTAACCAGCTCTTGATCCTCACTCGACCTGGAAACTGTTATGGTCCACCATCTTTTATGGATGACACGCCCCTTTATCAGAAATCTGTTTGTGATTGGACGCTTCAGATGAAGGACTGGAGGAAATGACGTCTGCTGTCATTAATATCGTGTTTCCTTCGTTCCTCTCTCCTTTTCACGCGGGTGGAACTAAGACAAAAGGAGAAGATGCAAGTGGGAGAGATTATGGTGTTCACAATAGACGTGAGATGTACCCACGGCTGTAACCACACAGGGTTCAAATTCTTATGGAAGATCAGCTCTGTAAATGTTTGATGAAGAAGGAAATGCTTTGTGGAGGTTTTCCTGTGGTTCTGAGTGTCTGCACTGGTTGTGCATCTGTAAACTGAGCTGTGTGAGTTTCAAACCAGAAATACTGACAGGTCCACTCAGTGACCCCTCAGTTACTGTGAAACCTCAATCACATGATGTGACATTTAGAAGCAACAGAGCAGCAGTCATGAGCACAGCAGTGGGACACATGTCACGGCAGATTTCTGTCTCTGTGTCTCCCGAGCTCTTCTCACTGGTCTGCAGCAGCTGAGACAGAAAGAACATGACACGTATGCAGTGTATGATCTGAGTTAACTACATGTGAATCAGACTCTGCTGACGGTGGCTCAGTGATCAAGCCACACCCACACAGTCCTGAAGCAGTTGGGCATGTTTAAATAATGAGCACCAGTCATTGCTTAGTTTGTCATGAACATTTAATGCTATAGACAAAGACTTGATATTCAGCGGCTTTAAAACGTCTGTGTGTACGATCACACGGACGCTGACACACAGTCAGATGTAATCCCAGATTAAACTCTGGCCAAAGTGAACTTGTGTGTGTTTTGTCTTTCAGTGCTGGTAGATTGTGTTCCTCTTTTGGCTGTGAATGCAAAGCAACACTCCATAGGAGGACCCCACACACACACTACAGGGTCACTGTAGTCTTTGTTTTGCTCAGCCTTCCCACTGTCGTCTGTTCG